ACCGCCCACGTTCTCTTACTCATACGATGATTTTGTCAGCGATTTGAAATTGAAACTTCAAGTAACTAGAGAACGGGCACGAGAAAATTTGATAGCGCGCAAAGAAAACAGTAAAGACACATATGATAAAGCAACCAAAAACGTGACATACCAAGTCAATGACAAGGTTTTGCTTACGGACGAGTCTCTGAAATCACGTCGAAGTAAAAAACTTTTTCCACGATATACAGGGCCTTATCGAATAGTTTCAATCGACTCAGATGTAAATTGTACGATAAAACGCGGAAAACATTACATCAAAGTACACAAGAATAGATTAAAACCGTATCACGAGTAACGGGATATTTTTGTTACAGACTTTCACTGATATTTTGGCGACACTGCATGGGACAGCAAAAACACGAAAATTACTCTATCACAGAGATTAAGCAATCTTCGGATATACACTATGAAAATTTAGGAAGCAGTCAATTGTATAATGATCAATATGAGTTAATTACTTTCGTTGATATGTTAGAACACAATCAAAAATTGATAGTATTGCAAGATTATCATTCAAGAACAATATCTTTTTGTCAAAATCGAATTCAAAAACTTAACCTTCAAGATTTATGCTCTAACTTCATTAGGACATCAAAACCAATTATCGATAAAATCAGTAATGAGCGTTATCTATTGAATCAATTAATAGGACACAATACAAATCAAACTTTTACTAGGTCCAAAAGAGGCTTATTCAATTTTGTGGGTGAAGCTTCAAAATTTTTGTTTGGAAATTTAGACGATGACGATGCAGAATATTATAATCAAAAAATAAATCAGTTCACGAAAAATGAACAAAATTTGGCTGTTATTTTGAAAGAACAAAGTCATGTAATTCAAACAAAAATTTCGAATTTTAATCATACAATTTCGACTCTTAATACAAATGAGCGAATATTGAAAGAAAATTTAGATAAAATTGAGAAATTCCTGAATAGAGAAGGCAAGGAACTTGCTCTTTTCGAGGCACGATTGAATTCAAACGAACATTTCTCTAATTTTATCATTCTCTATGTACAGTATCGATTAGAGACACAATCCCTAATAAATGCAATTCTTTCTGCTAAGACAGGAGAGCTACATCCTTTTATATTAACCCCAGAAAAACTTATTTTTGAACTTCAAAATATGTCGGCACGTAATTATTTACATTTTCCTGTTATGCCAATAATAGAAAACGCCCACATATTCTTGAATTTTGTCAAACTCAGCGTCTTTTATACAGACGGTGAGTTGATTTATATTTTATCATTACCTATGACAGATAGCCAAGAATATGATATTTACAAACTTACTCCTTTACCAGTTCATTTAGCTGATAATAAATATATCTTTATCCAACCCTCTACCAAATACTTGGCTATTAATAGTATTAAGCAGAAATATTTACTATTTGCTGAAGAACAATTTTCTTCATGTATTGAATACATGAAATCACATTATGTATGTCAGCAAGAAACTCCTTTATTATTGACTCATCAACACGAGTGTTGTGAAGTTAAATTATTTCATGCAAAGAGTACAATTCCAGAAAATTGTGATAAGAGATTAACTTCTCTCTATCAAAACATATGGCATCAATTAATTCTATCCAATACTTGGATTTTTGTTTTGAATTCTCCAGAACGTATTAGCATAAATTGTCGAAGTCAAATTTACAACGAATTTGTTCAAGGAACCGGATTGTTAGCTATATCCGAAAATTGTGAAGCTTTTACTCAAAGTGCTCTTCTGATACCTCATAAAGTACATACCAGCATTTATGAAAGTAACCAAAATTTCATTCCACCGATAAATTTGTTATATGATTGTTGTGAAACAGAAGACACAAAGAAAATTAACTATTCTGAAGTACATTTAGATCCAAATTTCAAGGTTGTAAGTATGCATTTAGATGATTTGAATTCAGCAAGCAAAAAGCTTTCTGAAATTGATGAAGAACTAGATAATTTTTTCTGGATGCCAAACTCGTTATCTTCAGCTAATAGTGTGTTAGCTATTTTGTTTATTATTTTATTATGTATTATTTTATGCTGTTGTTGTTGCAAGAAATGTAAGTTAGGTAGGAGATGCTGTGGAGTGATTCCTGGTATTTGTATCAGAATCGACAATAGAACAACAAATCCAAGGTACAATAATGAACCAATTGTGCATTTTTCTCGTACCCCGGAATCTGTTTCAGCATCAACAAATTCAATTGAATATTTAGATAATCCACCTCCAGAACGTGCAAGACAAATTGTAGGTCGTAGAAGTACAAAAGATCTCACGTCGACATAGGCGTTCGATATTTTTTTTTTAAGAGGGGAAGTGTTGTAAACCCTCATATAATCATTCAATATTATTTTGTTCGTAGAATTATTGTGGATTTTTTCTTATCATTCGTAGTTGCTTGAAATATAATATAATCAGATATACTCAGTAGACACTTGAAACTATAATTCTTATCAATCACGTAGCATTGAAAGCTCACGAAACTTCACTTGATACCTTGTGAAATATCCATTTCAAAACTTACTTCGAGTATCTAAGTTCAGTCTCAGCAAAATCAACTTCAGCAGTTTATAATGGAAAGAAGTATAGAGTATACTAAATTGTGCCCATATAAATTGTATTTTATCTTTCGTTTCTCACGACAGTAGATTATCAAAACTTTCGTCAATAAAATTATATGCCTTCAGGGAAGCCATGTTTTTAGTTAGATAGAACGCAACTTTTCTTGAGTCAACATCACTAACTTATTTTTCATTGTACTGAGCACTCTGTGATTGTCTTGTGAAATTTACCATCGTCCTCGAAGTGAATAAACGTCTACTGGAAAAGCTACCCACTAGTTATTTTGGTTCACCACCTTTTCAAACCTTCTAAGTGATCACTGTGACCTTACAGAACCTTTTCTTCCCATGTACTAAAAGGAAAGATCACAACATTCCCACTACATCGGAATCGTACGTACCCAGTACGTTCAGAAATAGACGTTTCCAGTACGTATCGAGAAGGTCCCGGACGTTCAGACCTCGATGAGACCTAAACTGGATGTCCCCAGGACGTCGAGTGCTATATGGTATGACACTGGAAAGTGTCAAACTAAAAGCAGCACAGCTTTCAAAGAAACATATTTTGCATGTACATACATGTTTTGAACGAGAACAGAATTGGTCCAAAGATGGGTAAAAATTCGATATTTTTTCAATATGTCTATATTTTTTTCCTTCAAACATGTTTTCGAACAAATTGTTACTGACAAGCTACTGGATTTTTCTTTCAGACTCCCTGATAGAAAAATCAGTTGAACGCAGTGACATTTTGGGGCGAGTCATCTGAATTGTCCCTTTACAAATATATTCAAATAATACGAATATTTTTTTTCCTTTATAGAAACAAGAAGAGAAAATCCCGAAGGATCAAGTATAATCAAGATTAATTAATGAAAACATCCTGTGACTAATTTGATTGCCAACGTCACCAATAATTGTCACTGAGAACTAAAAAGTTTCAAGACAGATACGAATTTGCAATTCATATAAAAATTTTTCTGTTCGGAACGGAAGCAGATTCGGTCTCGAAACGTCCAAAGATAAGTGAGAATTTGATATTTTTTTAAATACCCTCATTTCTCTTCTACAAACTTTTTTCAATATAAATTGTCACTGACAAGCTAGTGAATTTTTCTTTAAGACTCTCTGATAGGAAAATTCTTCAAACGCAGTGACATTTTGGGGCAAATCATCTGATTTATCCTTACTACACGTATATGTAAGTCATATAGATGCTCATAGTGAGTAACATGAATATGACATTATTTATTGAGAATAAAACCTCTTGTATATAGTCTGTATGATTAAAGAAATCCCACCGGTCAATTTCCCGAAAACCACTGAATTATTCACTATATTTGGACCCACCCTGTATATCATAGGTACGTGCAGAAATTATAATCGTTTATATTGAGTTTGTATCGATTATGAAAACAATCAATGCATAGTTCATAGTTGATTTGTTCTTCACAATTTTCATATGGAATTTGGAAAACGTCGACTTTATCACCTGATATGATCTAAACTAACGATTTCAGAACGTTAGTACAATAGAGACATTTGATCAGCACCAGGAGGTCTATAATATATCAAAATTTCAAGCTATAATTCACCGAAAGCCAAATTCTCATTGATGCGGCGCCTGGTCCTTTGAAACGTTTCCGGCTTCCTACTTCTGGTTGAAAATTCCACATTGGCCAAGAAATGTCCAAGTTATAGCTTGTCACATCAGCTGATTTTCAAAAAACCTTATGAAAATCCTTGTTTTCGCGTAATCCAAACTAATTGGATACTTTTGCCGCATGAATCACTATCATGAGCCATTATCTACAGTCTGTAAGTCTCTTATCGAAACGTCATTTTATTTGCGGATATTCTCAGTGGTGCCATCATAGATGACTTTTCCTTATAATGTGGAAATATCAAAAACTAATTAAATGAGACGAATGATTGCAGAAATGAATATAAGCTGTTTTATGAGGATAGTCTGATAATTACTTCTGATAGGATTAGTTTCTTCAACAATTTAATGGAAATTAATGGGGTAATAACGATCTCTTGACTCAATGAAAAAATTTTAGAATCTATATACGTTAAGTACTCTGAGTTGATATGAAAAATATAACAAGTGGTTGTTAATTAGCAGCGGTGTTTATTCCAGTTTGCAAATTGATCTTCGTGTAAGTGTGGAGAATCAAGACAAATAAACTCTTCTCAATTATCATAAAGACAGTATTCGAATACAGAGCCCCTATTCATATGTTTGATTTTCATCATTTAATTGTCTTTATTTACTGGACCAAATGATTGATACAGCGAACCGGAATACTGCGAATTTATTTATCAGATAAAATTGCAGATAAGATAAATTATCAGAGGCCATCAATAGTGACAAAGACTTCTTGCTACATTGTTTCGCTCACTTCAGTTTCATAGAGTGTGGCGATGTGAACGTTATTTCTACAGAAATACTGATCGAAATGACATCAGAAAGGGATGCTAAAGGTTTCATCCGACAAGTTTTAACAAACCCCAGCACATCCAGAACATCTACAAGTACTTCTCCCAAGAAGAAGATTGCGTTCGACTTCTCAAGGGAAGAGAACACTAGTGAGTAAATTTCGATTGATGTCCCTAAAATATTTATTTATTTATCGAAGTCATATAGGATAACAACAGGCATAACCCAAAGTGTTATCCACGGATATAGTTGAGCGTACAGAAAAAAAAATTATTCAGATTACAATTTTCGCTTAACCTAACACTACTTCAAGAAACATTTGATGTAAGCTATGAAATCAAGTATTTCTCTCTTATTTTCGATTCGAATACAAGTACTGAATGATTGAATAGCTCAATATCATCGAACTTATCATTGTAAAGTGTCACCATTCTATGTAGGGGGAGTTTTTTCCTAAGTTTGTTCTGCAAAACGTTTCAGAGAAGAGACGAGTATTCCTCAGAGAACGAGTTGGAACATTGAGATATATATTTGACAAAATTTCAGGGGAGTCGATTGAGTCATTCATAATTTTGAATGAAAATATTATGTCGGATTGCTCTCGACAAGCCTCTAGTGTGACCATATGAAATTTGTTCCTCAGGAAGGCTGTAGTTGAAATGTTATATTCCAGACTATTTCTATATTCAAGATATCTTGAAAATTCATTCTGTATGATTTTCAATCCAGTCTTGTATATAGCGTATTGTGGTCGCCAGATAACATTTGCAAAATTCAGTTCACTGTATACAAAGGAGTAGAATAAGGTTTTCATGACATAAAGAGAGGTGAAGTTTCTGCAATGTCTGATTATGAATTCTAATGTTCTATCTACATTTTGATACAACATAATCAATGTGAGTTGAGAATGAAAGTTTTTTGTCTAATATCACACCTAGGTCTTTTGTTTCATTAACTTCTTTAAGGATATTATTATCAAAATTATGAGCGTATGAGAAGATGTTGTGGTTTCGAGTAAAAGAGATAAAGCAACATTTATTCAAGTTCAAATGGAGTTTATTGATTTGACAGAAGTTGAAAAATCTGTTTATCTGTGAATCAAGGAACAATCGGTTGCACCACTTACTTGAGAGGATATTTTGAGATCGTCAGCATATAATATGAATTTACAGAATTGGGAACAAGACATTATGTTGTTTAGATATATTATAAAAAAAAGGCCCCAAATGTGAACCCTGGGGTACTCCTGAGGTTACAACATATGGGGTCGATTGATGTCCGTTGACTGTAACAATTCGTGTTCTATTGTAAATGTATGAGGAGAACCAGCGAAGCAGGTCTCCGTGTACACCGACTTCAGCTAACTTAGACAGCAATATGTTGTGATTTATTTTGTCGAATGCTTTACTGAAATCGGTGTACACGGAATCCACTCGAATCTGGCTGTCCATTGCATTCATCACATATTCAGTGTATAAGACAAAATTCGTCTCTAGGGATCTCTTTGAAAACAATCCGTGCTGTTCCTCTATGATATGTCTTTTCAAGGAAGTCATGAGTACATCGTGAACTATGAGCTCATGAACTTCACTTAGAATATTCAATTTGCAAATTGGACGGTAGTTGGTTACGTCGTTTCTATTACCTTTTTTGTAAAAAGGTACAACATAAGCATCTTTCCATCTTTCTGGAGAAGCGTATTCTTCAAAAGATTAATTCATGATCATAGCTAACGGCACACATATACTTGACGCACACATTTTTATGAAAAATGAAGGTGACCCGTCCGGGCCGTTACCTTTGTTTTCATCTAGAGCTGAAATATTGATTTTGATTTGTTCTACAGATACTGTTATTCTACTTATTGAAGATATATTATTTTGTGTGTGTGTGGGTGTGCATTGTCTGTTCGTGAGGCTAATAAAAGACACTTTTGAAAAATTTAGAGAAAAGTTTGCGAACATCTGCTCCCTCAGCATTGGGAATGTTATTATTTGGGTTAGTTTTGGATACAAAGTACCAGAATTTTTTCGAATTATTCGATATTTTGTTTTGAACTGAATCCGCGAAATTTTTGTAGTCATTGCGAATCAATTGCTTGGATCTATTCCGTAATTGACAGAAGAGTTGATAGTCAAAGTGGCAGCTAGATTTTCCATTTTTTGTGAGCTTTAGATTTTTCAATAATCCTTTTTATGGTGTTTTGTGTGAAATATACGGGAAACTGATTGAAAATCCTTTTTCTTGGTACGGAGATATCTATTAACTGATATATTTTCTCATAAAATATTTCCAAACAACCATTTACGTCATTACAAGTTCCAAGGATGTCCTTTCAATTGATATTCTCAATTTTCGTGATTATAGAATCGTAGTCACCTTTCCTGGAATTCTAAGTAAGCTTCGAGTTCGATTGAAGGGTTTTTAGTAGAGAGAAAGTGAGACTGAATTCAATACATCTAAGATGTGAATCCTCCTTCACTAGAGGCTCGCCGGATTCGAGATTTTTTATATTGAGTTTGTTACATAGGATAAGATCGATGATTTTGTCGTCATTATTCTTCACAGAGTTGAATTGCATGAGTCCATAAAAATCAAGTGTGTCAATCAAATCAGTAAACTTTGTATCTACAAATGAAAGAATTAAAATTGAAAAATCTTGTTTGAAATTCCATGGAGTGTTCGACATATTGAAATCACCACAGATAAGGAGAGCATCATCTGAAATTATCTTAAAGAGTCTATGAAGATTGTTAGTGAAGTATGCGATTGCTTCGTCATCTCCGGGGAGTAGGTAAACACAGCTTAGATGGATTTCACCTTTTTTTTTGGCGTGTACCGAGTAAGCCACAAGTCTTCAACATCGCTTTGTCATTCGGGACGTTCAACGACTTGTATTTCTCTTCGTCAAGCAATCAGGACTCCTCCACCATCACTCTTTGCGCTTTTTGTGCTTTCGCGATCTCTAAGATACACTGCGAACTCGTCACCAAAAAATAACTCACAATTCATCACACCGTTATTCAGACATGTCCCAGTCAAAAATATCAGGTCGTGGTCACAATTATGGATATTAAGTTTGAATTCTGTAGTTTCAGAACGTAAGCCCCTTACGATCTGAACAGAACAAGTTCAATTTGCGAAAATGTCTGAATTGAGTATACGATGGGCGTTGATTATCGTGTTGTGATCAGGCAAATTTCAGGTCATCTTCACTCTCGATTCGTTTCACATGGGAGCCCTCATCTTCGCGAATCAGAATGTTACCATTTCACCATCATGAGGATTATAATACTATCTGAAATTGATCAGATCTTGGGTAGTAATTAAACTGTTGTCTCTGGGCAATAGATCAAGATAACTCATAACTGGTAGAAGATGGTGATGATGGAGGAAAATTGCATCGTTGAGTCAATGAATTCCATTCAAAATATATTCTATGAAAATTGAATATGAAAATATGTTCTATGAAGGTAACGAATAACTTTCCTGAAAGTGACATCTCTCGATGAATTCATTTTTTAATTGCATTCATATTCTTTGTATCCCATCAATCCTTTGTTCTACAGTTATGCAATGTTGCCAGACGATTATTATTGGCTGGAAAATTTGGAAAGGTGAGACAACACATTTTTCAAACCTTCTTCATTGTTTTTCTGTGATTCATCATATCATTATGGTTTATTGAACATAATATTTCATACATCAGCAGGAACGTTGTGCCATTGTTGGGTGCCTCTTCCTCAGGAATCGAAGTTGAATTAGTACTCGAATTGAATAATTGTGATTCTGAATATCATCTGGAACCAATTTGCACGAGATTTCTTGAGCAAAAGCCATATTGATAGGATTCATGATAATTGATAAGGAAATTCATTATTCCTGATTTTTTTTAATTTTCTCTTCTCGTTTCTATAGAATGGAAATATGAGTATCATCTCGATATATCATGTGTAGTGAGGACAAATCAGATGATTTGTCTCAAAATGTCACTGCGTTGTCATCTTTTTATTAAATCATTCAAATATCATTCTGCTCTGCCATGTTATATATACGCTGTGACATCCTGGGGCAAATCATCTGATTTGTGCTAACTACACGTATATTGAAATGATACTCATATTCTCATTTCATAAAAATGCATCATGATCATCATTCAGGAATAACTTTCTGCTATTAAATAAACTATCAGAACTTTTCAAGGACGGTCCTGTATTCTTCCGATTCTGAATAAATTCGTCAATTAGAGAGTAGTAGCGGAATATTCCATGGAGAAATCAGACGAATCGTAGAAGCTGTTCGAAAGTCATGACCAGAAGATTTTCTTGCCAAATCTCATAATTCACCCTATATATTGGTAAACAAGTGATAAATACACTTTCTGATGGTCAGTTGACATTTCTCTCAAGGGCATCTATTCGTGGTAGGAGTATGTACAGTTCCTCATGACTCACCCTGCATATCATGAAATCGAATATTCATCTCCTCCAAGGTGTGTTCAATGCCCACCGTTTCATATCGGGCATCAAACTTCACACGTTGTAGGAAATAAATACCTTTGTTTCCTTGATAAAGGTAATTGAAAATATATATCAAGCCCCTGATAAAAAACTTTTAGTTCAAGTGGCATCGAGAGTATCACAAAGTCAATATCTGCTAGTGTTTTTACGAATTAATGAGTATCTGCTCAAAAGATTGAAGAAACTTATAGGTAGGTATATATTATTCTCGATCGAAATGAGAATGAGCGTCATTCCATAAATCCGATTATATCTCCATAATAATGGGGCCTCAATCATAAGTTGATGAAAACTATAGATTCTGAGCATGCTCTGCGATATTTTAGATAAGATTGAATTATAGATTAGGATATATTCAGATGCAGGTAAATATTTATCACCACTCGAGCGGAATGAATCATGTGAAGTTTGAATTGCACATTTTACGTCAATCATGAATCTCATAGACAAAAAGAGATTTCTTCATGTATTTCTCTAGGAATCTTCCATCAGTCAGTTCTGTCAGAGGCAATGCAAATTCTGCGATGAAAACTTCCAACGAGAAAATATAATTCCTGTGGATTCATCAGTGATAACTAAATTGAAAATGATTCACCAAATCATGGAAAGTCGAGAAAAATAATTATATT